CCCCCCCCCCCCCCCCCCAAACCTTATTCAACGATTAAGGTCCCTATTAGCCTAGCCCAATACCCCTTGCCTGCAGAAGCTGAACCTCTACGCTCTAAAACCCTAAGCCCCAAGTCACTAAAACCTACCTGAGCCAACAAAAACCCACTTTTTTGTAGGTTCGTACTCAAGCAACCCTAATGTGGGATTTATAGGGACCCTACAAAAAATAGGTTCTGGTGGGTTAAGGTAAACCCTAAACCCTAAATCACCAGAGCAGGTGTATGGCGCGAGAACTGCCGAGCAGCTGTTTTCAGAGCTGAGTGCTTTGGATTCCTCCGTGCAAGAGGTGCCGCGGTGCTTCTTCGGCTTCAGAAGCCCTAAACTCAAAACCCAAAACCCTAAACCCCTAAACCCTAAACTCCTAAACCCTCAACCCTAAACTCCTAAACCCACAAACCCCTAAGCCCTAAACTCAGGGTTTGTAGGGGGGGCTCTAGGGTCGAGGTTGGTAAACAGGGGGGTTTTTCTTCATTTGGATGCAAGCTAAGGTAAACAAAAGCGGGTTTACAGTAGGGCATTTTCAAGCCTTTAGGCTCCAGGGACTCATTTTGCGCAGGTTGCAAGTGGGATGATCGAGTAGGGCAAGCCCTAAACCCTAAACCCTAAAAGCCTATTCGAAACTCTCTAAGCTTCCCAAAAGGGTTCCCCAATTACCAAGCCGCATGACTCGCGGGATCTGTGTTGAGGATTCACGATTTCGGCCTGGGCAGACTCAGGGTTTCAGCTTCAGGTGTTACCTGGGACTCTAATTGCCGACAGTTTTATGGGTTCGGTTCTACCTAATTACTAATTCAGGGGTCATGGCAGCTGTAAGTAAAGAGAGTTACCCGTTGGCGTTTAGGATCCGTCCCCAGCCTATCATGTCGAGCTTAGGGAGGTTGCTTGTCGAAGTTTAGGATTCTGAGTAGTTAGTAGTAGCACTCCCTTATAGTCTCTATAGCCTGAAACCATACAGCACACCTCTTTTAAACACATACACACGGAGACATTATTTGTATATATATATATATATATATATTATACACACACATGCATGCATGCATGCATGCATGCATGCATGCATCCATACGTACATACATACATACACGTACACACATACCTACCTGTGTCTGTCCGTCCGTCCGTCCGTCGGTCTGTCTGTCTGGCATGCATGCATGTGCATTTCAGTGGGCATCACTTCTTCTTTGTCAGCGACGTTGAAACCGTCTTCTTGGCATCAGCAGTGCCGAGAGAGTCACGGCACGATCACCCTCGCCATCACCACCACGCCCATCAGCGCCGCCACTGCCACCGCAACGGGCACTGCCACTACCAACAAGGCCACCGCGGCCAGTCCAGCACCACCACCAGCGTCAGCAGCAGCAACAATGCCGCACCAACCTCAAGACCACTACTCCTCCCCGCGATCTAGACCACCATCACCATCGCCATCACCGTCATCGTGTTCGTTATCGTCATCGTCACCGCCGTCGTCATCATCATCACCACCATCACCATCATCATCATGATCAGCATCACCATGTTCGCCGTTATCCTCAGCACCACATCAGTGTAATGGCACGCCGTTACGCATTGTGCTGTTTACACCACCCCCAGGCGAGAGGCGACTGTGTCATAAGATATCGACATGTTTAGGGTTTACTGTTTAGGGTCTTCCGGGTTTCATTACCCCAGAATCAAGATGTTGTCGCTTCAGATTCCCTAGGTCCTTTACCGTGTTTACAACGGGGGTTGCAGGGGTTTGGGCGCACCTTGGAAGCACCGTTTCGGGTCTCTCCTGTGAGATGGAACACATGCTGAGGTTTCATTCATGACAGTTCGAGAGCCGGGTCTATGTCTGATTTTTTGAATTCTGAAGCCGCTTGAGCCCTGAACCTTGGAAGTAGGCCGTAGACACTGATAGTCTAATGCTGAATCCCAAACCTTGATAACTAAACCTGAAGTGTTATGTTTGGTCCTAACTTTAATTTTGAAAGCTAAACACGTAACCGTCAGCCTTTGCAACAGGAGGACTACATGTCCACCGATGGCATTTGGGACATCGAGGGTCTGGAGGATGATCTGCGTCTAGCCAAGGCGCCCCATGCACTGGTTATAGCTCTTTGGAGATTAAGGTTCCTCACTCCGGGCTTCGGGTATGGTTTAGGGTTTAGGGTTTAGGTTTGTAGGGTTTAGGGTTTAAGGTGGATGTTTTTGCCACTTCGGGTTGGTCCGAGGGCTCACAGCAGACTGTGCTCTAAGTTCCGTGCACGCCAGCACGCAAACCCTAAGCCCTAAACCCTAAACACTAAACCCCAAACCCTAAACCCTAAACCCTAAACCGTCATGTCGACCTTGGCAGTTGAGGGTTTGTCCTCGTTAGCATCCTTCTTAGAACCTGATCTTCGCGAACAGCTATGTAAGCATGTACAAGCTCGGAACTATCGATGCCATGGTGTTGGGCTTCGAGTTTTGCATTCTCCACTCTTCACAGCTTTGTCTCGGCAAGCAGTTGAGGCTGCAGCTAGTGCGCCTGCTGCTGCGAGTGCCACCCCTGCCGCGCCATCAGCGGCCGCGGCACCAGCTAACCAGGTTCCGGATCGGATGAGGGTTCCGGTTGATAGCATTGTATGTGCAAGCGCAGACCAAAGGGAATGTTCTGCACCCTCAATTCAAGGCAGCGTCATTGTTCGACTTACAGGCATTCCCGCTTCAAGAGGGATCGTGAGTTTTGGTCTGTGTTTTCTGGATGGCCGAGAGGCCAGGGCTAAATCAGATTCAGACAGCCTTTTATCCGAGCCAGCTGAAGGCTGCGAGCAGCGGGCAAAAGCTCTTCGATGAGCTCAAGTCCGTGGACCCAGAGGCTAGCAAGGCCTCAGTGCAATCTTTACCTGTGCAGGGTCATTCATACTTAGAGTACGTCAAGATAATTGTAAAAGGTCTTGTGCAGAGGCTGTGGCCGGGAGGGCGCAGCATCGCGAACAATGCAGAGCTGCAGAATATGGTTCGAAGTTGCTGTCAGTCTGGCTGTCGGTGGGTTTTCAGATTCGTTTGGCATTTCTTGACAAGTCACTGAGTTGTTTCCGGACGAAGAGGTTTCCGATGATCCCTTACAGCAAAGTGTTGCCGACTGCATCGGCAGGAAGACTACTACGACGCTGCTGGTGATTTCTGGGACGTCGAAGGGCTCGAAGACGACTTGCGCTTGGCAAAGGTGCCAGGGCAGCATGCTACGTCCTCATTGTATCCTTCTTAGAACCTGATCTTCGCGAGCAGTTATGATGTACAAGCTCGGAACCATCCATGCCATGGTGTTGGGCTTCGAGTTTTGCATTCTCCACTCTTCGCAGCTTTGTCTCGGCAAGCAGTTGAGGCTGCAGCTAGTGCGCCTGCTGCTGCGGCCAGTGCCACCCCTGCCGCGCCATCAGCGGCCGCGGCACCAGCTAACCAGGTTCCGGATCGGATGAGGGTTCCGGTTGATAGCATTGTATGTGCAAGCGCAGACCAAAGGGAATGTTCTGCACCCTCAATTCAAGGCAGCGTCATTGTTCGACTTACAGGCATTCCCGCTTCAAGAGGGATCGTGAGTTTTGGTCTGTGTTTTCTGGATGGCCGAGAGGCCAGGGCTAAATCAGATTCAGACAGCCTTTTATCCGAGCCAGCTGAAGGCTGCGAGCAGCGGGCAAAAGCTCTTCGATGAGCTCAAGTCCGTGGACCCAGAGGCTAGCAAGGCCTCAGGGCAATCTTTACCTGTGCAGGGTCATTCATACTTAGAGTACGTCAAGATAATTGTAAAAGGTCTTGTGCAGAGGCTGTGGCCGGGAGGAGAATATGGTTCGAAGTTGCTGTCAGTCTGGCTGTCGGTGGGTTTTCATTTTCGTTTTGCATTTCTTGACGAGTCACTGAGTTGTTTCCGGACGAAGAGGTTTCCGATGATCGCCTACAGCGAGTGCTGCCGATTGCATCGGCAGGAAGACTACTACGACGCTGCTGGTGATTTCTGGGACGTCGAAGGGCTCGAAGACGACTTGCGCTTGGCAAAGGTGCCAGGGCAGCATGCTACGTGCTCATTATCATCCTTCTTAGAACCTCGTCTTCGCGAACAGTTATGATGTACAAGCTCGGAATTGTCGGTGTTGGGCTTCGAGTTTTGCATTCTCCACTCTTCGCAGCTTTGTCTCGGCAAACAGTTGAGGCTGCAGCTAGTGCGCCTGCTACGGCCAGTGCCACCCCTGCCGCGCCATCAGCGGCCGCGGCACCAGCTAGCCAGGTTCCGGATCGGATGAGGGTTCCGGTTGATAGCATTGTATGTGCAAGCGCAGACCAAAGGGAATGTTCTGCACCCTCAATTCAACGTAGCCTCATTGTTCGACTTGCAGGCATTCCCGCTTCAAGAGGGATCGTGAGTTTTGGTCTGTGTTTTCTGGATGGCCGAGAGGCCAGGGCTAAATCAGATTCAGACAGCCTTTTATCCGAGCCAGCTGAAGGCTGCACAGAAGCTCTTCGATGAGCTCAAGTCCGTGGACCCAGAGGCTAGCAAGGCCTCAGTGCAATCTTTACCTGTGCAGGGTCATTCATACTTAGAGTACGTCAAGATAATTGTAAACGGTCTTGTGCAGAGGCTGTGGCCGGGAGGGCGCAGCATCGCGAACAATGCAGAGCTGCAGAATATGGTTCGAAGTTGCTGTCAGTCTGGCTGTCGGTGGGTTTTCAGATTCGTTTTGCATTTCTTGACGAGTCCTGAGTTGTTTCCGGACGAAGAGGTTTCCGATGATCCCTTACAGCAAGTGTTGCCGATTGCATCGGCAGGAAGACTACTACGACGCTGCTGGTGATTTCTGGGACGTCGAAGGGCTCGAAGACGACTTGCGCTTGGCAAAGGTGCCAGGGCAGCATGCTACGTCCTCATTAGTATCCTTCTTAGAACCTGATCTTCGCGAGCAGTTATGATGTACAAGCTCGGAACTATCGATGCCATGGTGTTGGGCTTCGAGTTTTGCATTCTCCACTCTTCACAGCTTTGTCTCGGCAAGCAGTTGAGGCTGCAGCTAGTGCGCCTGCTGCGGCCAGTGCCACCCCTGCCGCGCCATCAGCGGCCGCGGCACCAGCTAACCAGGTTCCGGATCGGATGAGGGTTCCGATTGATAGCATTAGTATGTGCAAGCGCAGACCAAAGGGAATGTTCTGCACCCTCAATTCAATGCAGCGTCATTGTTCGACTTACAGGCATTCCAGCTTTAAGAGGGATCGTGAATTTTGGTCTGTGTTTTCTGGATGGCCGTTAGGCCAGGGCTAAATAGATTCAGACAGCCTTTGATCCGAGCCAGCTGAAGGCTGCGAGCACAGCGCAAAAGCTCTTCGATGAGCTCAAGTCCGTGGACCCACAGGCTAACAAGGCCTCAGGGCAAGCTTTGCCTGTTCAGTGCGTGTGGTCCAGGTTTGCACCTGCACAGCATGATGACATACTGAGGTAGTGATTAAATTCTACAGTCTACGGTCTCCATTGTAAGCTTAACCCGAAGGCTCTAAGGACTGATATTTTAGGGCTTTTGGGCCCAAAGACCATACCATATAAGGCTTTTGGGCTATTTTGAGCCTTAGGGTAACACAGGAACAATGGAGACTCTAGGTGGGGTTTCGGGTTTAGGGTTTAAGGCGACTTCAGCTCTGCTGACCTTAGTTTGGCCTCCAGGCTTATGGTTCAGGGTTTGGGGCAACCTAAAACCTAAAATCTAAACCCTAAACCCTAAACCGTGCATGGGCAGGAAGACTACTACGACGCTGCTGGCGATTTCTGGGACGTCGAGGGGCTTCAGGACGACCTCCGCTTGGCCAAGGTGGAGGGGTTTAGGGTTTAGGGGTTTTGGTTTAGGGGTTTACGGTTTAGGGATGAGGGTTTAGGGGTTTAGGGGCTTTGGTTTAGGGGTTTACGGTTTAGGGATTAGGGTTTAGGGGTTTAGGGTTTAGGGGTTTAGGGCTTAGGGTTGAGGGTTTAGGGTGCACCAAGAGCGCACCGCGCCAACTCACTGAAAACACGAAACCTTGGAGTCAGTCCTACACCGAGCGTCTTGAGTCTGCAAATCCTGAACCCCTAAAGCATCTTAACGCATTTAACCCGCACATAGACGAGAAGCTATCATTGAGTTCGCATTCCGAGCACGGTGGTTTATGATGAAGCTGCATGAAAGCCATGAGAAACCTAGCTCCCTGAAGTACGAAGAACTACACGTCTGCAATGAAGCAGGGCCGAGCTTAGATGTTCCTGTGTTCCTAAGGAGGTCTGAATAAATTCACGAGCACGACAGGGTTGAGGGTAAGGGGTTACAGTCAAGACCAGTAATATTAATGCCAAGTCAAGTGAACATAAGATGTCATATTGATGAGTTGTTATATTGCCTATAAGCTGTACTTCGACATGTCCCAAAATTTTGTACTCAATCTCGAACCCTACTTGTATAGTCCATTCGGACCATTTTTCAGGAGGCATGTCCTGTTTCGTGCCTCGGATCGCCGTAGACATGCGAACGATCTTTCAATGGCTTGGTCCCATGGGGAGCCTGTTCGGGGATGGGGTTTAGGTTCTGGGATTCGGGGTTCCATGTTCAAATTTGTGGCTATAGGGGTCCGTTGGTGTACCAACCCTAAACCCCAAACCCTAAACCCCAAACCCTAAACTCTAAACCTTAAACCCCAAACTCTAAAGCTCAAACCCTAAACCCCTGGGTGCTGGAGTACCGTGCTTGAACATTTTTCTGGGTCCTGTTCCTTAAAGGAACTAGAGGGTTTAGGGTTTAGGGAACAGTACTTTGTCGCCCTGTTTATTCAAAGTCCAGAGACCCTCTCCAGCGCCAGGGTAGTCTGGGATTGGAGTTTGCGGTCATTTGTTCAGGGTTTAGGGTTTAGGGTTTTAGGGTTTTAGGGTTTTAGGGAGTTTAGGGTTTAGGGTTTTAGGGTTTAGGGTTTAGAGTTCAGGGTTTAGGGTTTAGGGTTCAGTTGTTCACAGTTTCGGTTCGGAGTTTGCTACGATGGCGGCCTGAAGAACTAGTAATACGTTACTATTCGTTGGGGGCTTCTTCAGATAGCGCTTAGGGTTCAGGGTTTAGCAGTTTCCATTAATATACCGTAGAACTCTATTCTAATGTTAAAGGCCCCTGTATTGCTGTTGCCTTTAGCGGATATGTCGTGCAGAGGCTTGGTGGCGGTGCAGGGTTGTCAGAAAAACCTAAACCCGAAGCCAAAAGAAACACTAAGTCGTATGGCCATGATTCTGGTTCCAATCAGCAGGACATTTTAGGTAGCAGCGTGGTGATTGCGCCACCGATGAGCGCATGCCTGCTGTTCGCTTGGAAGCAGATTGCATCGGCTTACCGAGTCTAGCCGCGCTTAACGCAAGCAAAGCGCCAGGGAGACTTCGATCTCTCTTGTCCCCTTTGATGAGATCCTGCCGATGCCACGCCGTTTGGCAAAATGCCCTAAACCCCTAAACCCTATTCCTTGATTCGCAAGCCCTAAACCATAAGCATTACACCCCAAGCCTTAAGCGCCAAGTGCTAAGCCCTGGAACCCAGACACGGTTACGAACTTCCCTGCCGCACGTGCAAAGATCGGGTGGCTTCAGGAAGGGTCAACATTACGATTCAGAATTGGAGCGTTTAGATGATGCAGCAAGCCTTTTCTAAGTCTTAAGACCCGTATATAAGCCCGTTTTGCTTCATTTCTGTCATCTGCATCTACCGGGCTGCCAGAAAATATTGGAACAACCAACTTCCGGAGTAACCTTCAAGAGAGGACCACTAGAGCCTGAGCCCCTCGACCCCTAAACCCGGAACCCTAAACCCTAAACCCGGCTAAACCCTGAGCCCTAAGCCCTAAACTCGGAACCTTAAGTAAAGACCTGTAGGACCCCAACCCCTAAACCCTAAACCCCTAAACCCTAAACCCTTAACCCTAAACCCCTAAACCATAAACCCTAAACCCCTAAATCCTAAACCCAAAACCCCAAACCCTAAAACCCAGTAAAGACCTGTAGAGCTGCGGGGGAGTCCCCGAGGCTCCACATAGAGTACCCTTGTGGAATTAGGCCCCGAGAGGCTACCCTTACTGTTGATGATAGAAATCTAGGGTTTGAGGGTTTAGGGTTTAGGGTTTAATCCTGCATTTCCTTAAGGACCCTAAACTATGGCAATGAAGGTATCTTCCTTGTTATGATTATGATGGGTAATGAAGGATTTATATCATCAACCGTATTAAGGTTTTAGGGGCCTACTTCCATAACGGTACTATAATATAGAGAGTTCTCTAAATTACAGCACCTTTTTAGGTCCCCAACATAGTAGACTCTAAAAGGGACCCTAATTTAGAGAACTACCCCCTGTGGAGCTGCTGGGAGTCCCTAATTCCTAAAAACCCTAAAACCCTAAACCCTGAACCCTAAAACCGAAAAACCATAAACCCTAAACCTAAAACCCTAAACCCTGGACCCTAAACCCTAAAACCCAGTAAAGACCCATCTGGAGCCTCTGGGAGTGTCTGTGCCGTTTTTTGTTCGTCTCACTTGGAGGTTCATGGGTAGCTATAAGTGGAGTTATTCGTCCCCTAATATAGCTTATAAGTATAGTTACCCTACTTATAACCCTACGTATAACAACCCCTAAACCCTAAACCCTACAGATTCCTTAAAGGAACCCTACTTATAACTACGCGCGAACCTCCGAGCAGGGGACTCTTCGACTGCCAGCTCTGCGACGTCTTCCTTCGGCGGCTCAATAACTGGAGGCGGCGTTTTAGTTGTAGGGTTTAGGGCTTAGGGTTTAGGGTGTAGGGTTTAGGGTTTAGGGGGTTAGGGTTTAGGGTTTAGGGGTTTAGGGTTGAGGGGCTTTGGAGTTGTAGGGTTTTTATAGGGTGCGGGTTCAGTTTCGGGTTTAGCAGGTTAGGGTATAGGGTTCAGTTGAAGATTTAGGAGAAGTGTTTTGGCCTTGTGGTTAGTCTTGTAAGAATCAGTCCCATCCTTGAAAGTCTGGGACTGTCTGATTTGCAGGTCAAAGAACCCTAAACCCTAAACCGCAAATCCCTAAACCCTAAACCCTGAACTGTAATACTACTCCATGGGGTTCCTTATCATCTGTTCTGGTCATGAGGGCGCTGGTATTTCTTGGGAGCAGTCAGAGTTTGCTATCAACCCTGAGCCATCATCCCTCGTAGAGCATCATGGAACCAAAGCACTAAACCCTAAACCCTCAAGACTCAAACCCTAAACCTCTGAGAGAAATTTTCGAGTTCAGGGACGGGGTGAGTTGTTTTGGAGGCTTGGAAGCTTAGGTTTCGAGCCAGATGTCGAGTTAGGAGTGGGGGTTTAGGGTTTAGGCTGCAGGGTCCAACCCAAGCTCAAAGCCACAAATCGCAGAGCTCAGACGCTTTCGGCAGGATTCAAGGCTTGAGTGCTTGTGTCAGGGTTGCAGCTTCATTGCTGTGTAGGGCAGCATGAGGTTTCATTTAGTTTTTCGTTTTAGGGTGTCCCGAAACCCTAAACCCTAAGCTCCCTAAACCCTAAACCCCTACACCCCTAAACCCTAAACCCTAAACCCAAAACCTAAACCCTAAACCCTAAACCCCTAAACCCTAAACCCTAAACAGGGACCAAAGCACCTGAGCTACAATCTTATCCGCTGCAAGTTTCGCACTGAAAGCTCCAGCCCAACCCTTTCTGAACCCCAATGCCTAAACCCTCAATCAACCCCAAACCCTGAACCCGAAACCCCAAACCCTGATCCCTAAACCCTAAAGCCTAACCCCTAAACCCGCAACCCTGCACCCGCAAAGCCTAAACCCTGATCCAAACCCTCAACCCTAAACCCTAAACCCTGAACCCTAAGCCCTAAACCCTAAGCCCTAAACCCGAAACCCTGAACCCGAACCCTGAACCCCAAACCCTGAACCCTGAACCCTAAACC